ACTGTAACTCAAAAACTTCCAAGAAATGTAAGACCTGTCTATATTACCCTTCAGAGGCTTTAGCATTCAGGTCTTATTTTTTAAAAACTGAACTAAAATAAATGTATAATATTTTTGTTAGTCTTAGCACCTCTTTTTTGTACTCATCTCCATTTGCTAGTAAGTTTCAAAAGCTCTATTCTTGTGAAACCTCATTATGACTCCTTTTCCTTTATTTGTAAGTCTGAAATAACCTTGACATCCATGTTTCACATATATTTTAGGCTAAATGTGAAGTATTCCCTTATACCCACGAGCCATTCAGAAAGTTGGTATGTTCCAAGGATACTCTAAATGAGGTTATTAAAATTCAACACTTTGCATATTCTGATGGGGAAAAACACTTGTCTCTGGCAACAAAGGAGATAAGTTGATTCAAGAAAGCTTCTCAGTCTTCTTATCCATGGCCACTGAATTCCTCTTGCCAATATTTGTAAAACCAAAATTAGAAAATGTTACCAGGGAGGAAGATAAGTGTAGGAACGCAGGTCCTGTCCAAAAGTGAAAATCCATAACCATCTGTTGTTTGTGTTACATGGATTTCACAACTGTCATCTCCACTGTGCACACCATTTCATCTTCACAGCAATATCACCAAAACACCCACTGAGATAAAATCACAAATATTTTGAACATACCATATGATATGTTATTTTCCAAATTAATATTTGACAAAGTCAAAATGAGGACTTGTCTATAGGTTACTTTTGTGCTGTCACATGAAAAAATCCTTTAAGGGTTTGCTACTGTTTGGAAATAATTAACTTCAAACTTGAGTAACTTAAACAACACAGAAGAAAGAGAAAGATAATAAATGTTGCAATTTTTAATTATAAATTTGTTTTGAAAAACGGTAAAGCCTACTATATATACTTACTTAGTATCTTTCTCCAAAAGGGGTCTAAAGTTGTTTTTTTAATTATTTATTTAGAAATATCATCCAGATTTTAAATTAACCTTTTTTGTTTTCTGAACTTTATACCAGTAAGACTGTCCCACGTTTCACAGCTGAGTATGGCTTAAAGAATTTATCAGCTCTGAAGCTAATCTTCATAACCCAATGTCATACCCAAAAAGTTCTTTTTGGAGAAAAAGCACAACCAAACAAAACCCCCCAAACTTGGGAGTTGTCCTTGGAAATTGTCCTTGGAACGCTGACAGAAAAAGAGTTAAAGCCCAGTGAGTAAACAAACCGCTTTTTCCCTGAGGAAATCTAAAACTCAAGGTCAGCTCTGTCTGAAATCACCCGACATGTCACATGGCTTTCATACCTGCCACTATGGCTCTCCCATCAAACCCACACTGAAAGCAATAAAAACATTTTTACTGCAAACAGATAGAGCTCTGATAAGAGGATCCCTAATCACCTTTGGCTGTTAATGCTGCACAAACTGAGAGGTAAAGTTTTGAAAAAGGGAAGAATGAACTAAGAAAATCTGAGGTCAAATGTACTTATCTTTTTCTTTAGTTCCTTAATGTTTGCATGTGTTAGAGCAGAAATATGGCTTTATAAGTATATGGATACATATATAGTTTATATATATGTGAATATATACATGGACACTCACTTTATAAACATATGTGTTTGTACACATACAGAATCACTGGCTGTCCTGTCAGTATAACTCAACTAATTCCATTTTATCCCAACTTCTGTCCTCCAGTAACAAAACTCTGGTGGTCTCAATCTCAGTCCCTTGGGTGTAGGAATCCATCACAAAACCATCACCCTTAATTTAATGCAATTGACAGTCTCTGCTCAAGAGAGGCAGACGAAGGAGTTACCATGGAGACTGAACTACTGCTCTTCTCCAGAGGATGTTTTATCAAGCATGGGCTGAACAGTAGAGGCTGTGCAACCTTGAGGCTTGTAACCTTGATCACATCACAGTATCTTGCTTTTTGGGGTGGCTTTTTAGTAAACTTTAACAAAGATCTAGTAGATGGATTGGAGGGGGGTGGGGGAAGGAGGAAGAGACAGCTTAAGAAAACAAACAAACCAACCCCTCAAAACACAACAAAACAGGATGTAAGCGCATATTGTGCCAGATTGAGAGAGAAAAGGAGTTTCATATTAATTTGATTTATCAGATTTGTCACCTCTGCCTAGTGCTTTCCTAACAGGGTGAATGCTGTGCTTGACCTATTTGCTGGAATTAACCAGGACTGCAGGAGACCATATGGATTGCCAGATGGTCTGCTATAATTTAATGCCATTTATTCTAAGTATGAAGTAAGTGATAAACATAATTAACATTCTTTTAGCTCCTTACTGGATGCCTTTTATTGGTTTCTTTTTTTTTTTTCCCTCAGGCATTGAAAGGTAAGTTAATATCTTGTTGCTGTAACACAGATGTCAGCTAATTACAGCAAGAGGCTGCAGCCTCTAAAGCAAAAAGTGTCTGCACAGACTCTAACTTATTCACTGACCCCAGTGGGATGATTAATAGGTTGAATGCTAAGCTCTAATGAGGATGGTAGATCTTAGATGTTTTCAGGTTTTCTTAATTAGTAGTATGATGAGCAGTGTTCATTGCAGGTGTACGTATCACACTTCATAGTAAACAATACACCTTGTACTCATGGCCTGAACAAGTATTTCATGTTGCAGGACATCAAATATGAAGGAAGAATCAAACCACTTTCAGACAATAACAACAATGAAGTGACTTCCTTCAGAAATGTTTTTCCTGATAGCTATTTCATATTCTGCCAGTGATTGTCTAAATGGCCTATTTTTTAGGAAGTAGACCTAGAGAAGGTATGGCTTCAAAGAGTGTTTATATCAGGCAGGGTTGTCATTCTCAGCATTTTAAAATCACGAGTTTGTAACTAGATATCCAAACAACTTTGCCTACTGTTCCTGTGTTGATAATCTTCATAGTGACTGGGGTAGGTGTTCCCAGAATGAATAGGAAATAATTTTGTAATTTTTAATATCAATGTACAGATGAATTTAGTATGCTGGTACTCAGAACAATAAAAGAAGCATTAAAAAAAAAGTCAGGAGAACTGAATCCTTCGTATTTTATATAAAAAGTTGTGCACATGGAACCTCACCGATAAAAATGACCAAAGCTAAATGTCCTGAGATTTGCATCTGCACTGTTAATAAAACCTGGGTGAACTTTGACCTGACAGAAACAGCATTAATTAAATGCAATTCAAAGAACATAACAAAACAGCACCTGCACTATAAAGCAAACCTGCTTCACATGCTTAAAAGAGGCCAGGTCAGCAAGTCACAGCATAGCAAAAGCAGAAAAAAACTCCAGCCTTTCAATAGTTGTTTTCCCTGTGTTCCTGATGGGTTCAGCACTTGTTCAGGGGCCTCCACAGTTACAAGTTACGCTCTACAGTGCATGTGCTGATGCACCCTTAAAAAACAGATACATTAGAGGGGACCTGAATGTGATGGGACATACCTGGTCTTTTACTTCAATCTTGTTTGCACCCAGTTACTTCTTCACTTGGTGAATCACTTGCCTATTGTTGCCAGTCCAGTAAAATCCTTTATATTTTTCTACTAGTATATGAATAACTTACGATTCTTTACTAGTGTATGAACAAAAATAGATCAAAATATCTGAACAGGAAGCTTTTGTTAATATTGATTCCTCTTGTCAAGATGTGTCTCTGTGACTGCCAGCATTTGAGAAAAGATCCATTTTTCCATCCCATCAACTGAAAAATACTTACCTGAGGTGCTTAAGCTAATGCTATGCTGGCTTCAGCTTCATTACTATAGTCAGAGGAGAAAAAGGGGTACTTAGAGAGAGTAACTCAGGTAGCCTGAATTGCTCTCTGTAGGAACGCTTCTCCCTTCCCTGACTGCTAAATGAGTTGGGGCCATTCACGTGTCAAGACTTAGCTAGGCTGAAATATGTGATAAAAAACTACCACGCTATGAGACTTCATGTACCCTTCAACAGATCATTTGGAGGACCTGATAACACTTTGCTATTACACAGATATCAGTTCTGAAAAATACTGGAATTATGCTCTTCAGTGATTAAAGAGTTTCAGTCTCAATATGCTATTGCCACAATGCTTTCAGTTTCTGTATATATAGGTTTATACACATGTACATACATATAAACATACATTTATAAATCTATGACTTTAATTGTTGCATCATTTCAAATAGTCTGAGATGTTTCAGGTGGTTACCTCATAACATCAAAAGAAAGGGAAATGCCAGATCTATTGCCTGAATTAATCTCTTATTCAGACCTCTGGACTGCCCGAGTTAAGTGTTTTGCCTAAGCAGGAGCTAGCTCTCAACAATACTTAAAAAAAAAAAAATCAAAAAAAAAATCTGACAAAAATTAAGAAACCAAGCAGAATTTAACAAGTTAGTCTTTGGGGCTGACAGACACAAAACCTGTCAAAGCAGGTTTGACACTTAGTTCTTAAACATAGCTTTATACTTTTAAATCCTTTTTCATCTGTCTTGTTCTTAATTTGCTTGCTCACAAGAAAAAAGATATCAGAGAATTTATGTTCACAGTTCAGTTCCAAAAATAAGATTGTCTGCATCTTAGCTGTCATTCGGATGGCTTGTTTAAAACATCACTCTTGGCCTAAATGGAAAGTAGGATTTTAGGACAAATAAGGAGAAGATGTAAAATCCCTGACTACAGAGGAATACCTGTGCCTGACCAATGAACCCTCATTGCCATAATAACTTTCTGTGATTAAGCTCCATCATCAGATATACTGAGAGATCTTACCAAGGCAGGGAAAACTGACCAAATGTACCCCCAGACCCAGATGAAGTTACTTGAGCACTGATTTGTTGGAAAAATGATACTCTCAGAAACTGTGAATTTAGGGGAAAATTGCAAAATAGAGTTAGGTAGAGAAACAAAGAAAAGGCCCTAAGGGGAAAAAACACTTTGGGATCATAGGAAAAAAACCCAAACAAACAATGGTATTCACAAATTTCACAAATGTCTTACCTCCTGCATACATGACAGCCAACATTATCGATGATATCCAAGCTATCTCACTATAAGATGTGTGGAAGATTTCTTGTATTTCTTTGAAGAACACTGTGATGGCTTTGGGGAATGCATAGGAAAATCCAATGGAGATAAAAGCCCCAAAGACCACAACCCATCCCCAGCCTCCATCAGGAGGCGGGTAATCTGGCGTTCCTGTTGTTGGTGGCATTTTTTGGTCTCTCTCTCTTCTCCAACTAGGCTGGAAAAGAAGAAAAGAAACAGAGGTTTAGTTTTCCCTTTTTTCCATATCAAACATGAGTATTCAACCATCATCTGCAAGGATTATAATGAGTCCTCAGAGCAAAGACCAACTTCCAGCTTTCATAGAATCACAGAACACAAGTACCTGTTTTTAGAAGCAAAACTTGTTCTGCAAAAAGATTTGTGGCAAGAATATTTCCAATAGCCTATTCAACATGTTACAAATCACCGATCTCAGTCACTGAAGTTGTATTTGCAATTATTCACTTACTGGAAAGTGATAAGTTTGTGTGGATTAATTTACGTAGCTCTACCATCTACAGTATGGATGGGTAACAATGGAAAAAAGTTACATTAAATTATAACTAAATGCCATTGTGCTAGCAAGATTTATTGGTACCTCAGCAAAATCATCAGCAACAACAGAAAGGAAACAAATTGCGAACAACTGAAAAGCAGGTTCTAAGCAGAGATTTAAAATTCCCTGGGTATCTATAAGTAAATACAAAATATTAAAATTCCGTATTGTACTCTTGTTTTTTAAGATTTTCATCTTCATATTAGTTATGTTGATATTATTTGCAGGAACAAAGTAGAGTTTGATGGAGCTAATTTTGCTGTTTCCACATGTCAGAAGATATCAGGAAGCCTTCCCCTAATAAACCTCACAAGTTTTCCACAGCTATTCTCTAATTTAGAATTGACCATTAAGATGCCAACAGAGCAATATCTTACAGAAGTTCTGAGATGTGTAGCCAACACATTCAGGAAGCTCAAGAAATCATAGGGAATCCACATAAAACTCATAAGGCCTGAAATAAATGTCATTCTGTTAATGTCATCTTCATATCTAAAACCTTAAGTTTTCTATGTTCTGCATCTCATTTTTACAAAACAGGTAGCAGTGATAATCCATTTTTTAATTCCGAGATTTTTCCACTATCAAATCCCTTTATTATTGAACACAGTTCTGGAGTTCACTGTGCTTTCTTCTGTGGAATCCAGCCTACACAGACAGTATGAACTGCAAATTTCTTCTTCCTCTCTGTTTCTTTCTCAGGCATTTAGACAACTTATTATTCTTGACTGGTCTCCTGATGTACCACTATCGAAAGCTGTGGATGATAACAGTGTTTAAGTTGCTGTTATGCTTATGATTACCAGCAAGTCTCTACGTGATTTCTTCTGTGCCACTTACAGCATATTCCAATTTCTTGCAGTAAACTGCATTAGCAGTAGGAGTGATATGATTACCTTAACAAAAACTGAAAAACTAACTGTGTCAGCTTATATTAATCTCTTGGGATAGTGCCCGGAGTACTTTCAGGCTAAATGCCATGTACCACTGCATGTAATATATGCCATAAAACAAGGAACGTGTTGCTTTTAAGATTGCCTATCATCAGAAACCCAGTGTACTTCTGATTCTCCACTTTACTTAAACTGACTGTAGATATCAGCTACAATCTGATGTAGCTGGAAGACATTTGGGGGGAAGCTAAATCAAGGACTAAAACATCTGACTTTTATGAAAGATTAAAAAAGCCCAGGTAGTTTGACTTCTTCATATAATTGAGATTTGCAGCTGGCAGCAATAGGTATCTGTACACAGGACATATAAATCTTTTTATGTGCTTATCCAGAAAGAACCTCTAGTATGTTACTTTGTTTTTGCTTATCCTAGTTGCAGCTTAATATTAAGTTCACCAATATACATCAGAGAGGAAAACCTACCGCTAGGGAAAGCTGGACAAGTAGAAACAATTCTGGTTGCTAAGACTTAACTTTGGCAAAGCAGTTAAACACTAGTTTGTTTTTGCTGAACAGGAGTCCTAGAAGGAAGAGTATCTCACAAAGCCCACTATAACTTAAAGCACACGTAACAATGATCGATTGCATTCAAAAGCACAAACCTCAAAGTGGCATGAAAAGCAGAACTGTTTTGGAGTTAAGCGACAGTAAACAAGAGTTTGCTATCTATCCCAGAAAGCAGTTTTTCTGCTCATCTGAGAAAACTTTTGGTTATTTCATGAAGAAAAGTTCAACTATTGTTTTCTTACACTTCAAAGACTTGAGCATATTTGTTTTCATATTTACTATTCAGATGTCAACACTTCTATTGCTCTTACAAATTTTTGTATAAGCACACAACATCAACACACTGCTCTTCACAAAAATGGAAAGGGTTTATCAATTTATTGAGGAAGCACTCCTTTTCCTAAAAATAATACACAACCACTTTGAAAAATCACAGCCACTGTATTAGTCAGGAGAATGTTGAAGAATCTTGAATGTCACTAATGAATCAATGCTTTGGTTGGTTCCTTATGCCCCTTAGGGCATAAGAACAGGCTCTGATAGTTCAGTGCTTTCCTCCCTTCAAATGCTTCACAGTAAATTAAGAAGGCATTAAGGAGCCAAGCAAAGGGGCATTGGCTGCTCCTGTTCCTCAGTCTAGAGGCTAAAAGCTCACTGAAATGGCCCTGTCTGCCAACCTGCACTGGGCATTAAGCTGTCACGAAGAAGAACCTGGATCATTGTATCTCACACCTCCTGTTTATCCCACAAAGTAGAGTTAATAATAGCTTGCCTGATATTCCTTTATGATCATCCTGGCCAATTTTAGCTCCAGTTAATAAAAGGTGAACAGGAAAAAAAGTAATGTTTGCACCAAGAGAAAAAAAGTATTCATTTTGTCAGAAACATCAAATCCAGTATCTCAAACATTCCATACCTGCTCAGGAGCTAAAGCAATATTCTGCTGTAAAATTTGCACTGAATATCCCTGAAACTGAATCCCTCCTAAAGAAGTCTAGCCCATTAATATACCTAGCTCTAACCTAAGCCTAACTAGTAAGATTTGAGTAGTATAGGTAGTATTCAGACAAGTGCAAAATCCATCGCTAACCACATCAAAACAGGATTTTACATGAGTGGATATAAGTGTTAATAAAGGAAGAAGCAGAAGATGAAGGAACAAAGCAGAGACAAGGAGAATGCCTTTTCAGAACGTTTAGTTTATTATGGGCTGGGGAGAAAAAAAAGAAATATGATAGAAATCATAAAACCAGGCATGTGTGATGATGTTAACGTGAAGGACATAGTGCCAGACCAAAAGAAAAAAAATAAAAAGCAGCACTCGAGTAAATGAAGGTCACCACCAGTGTTTTTAGTCAGTCATATGAATTCCACCATGTGCTTAAAGCTAGCAAGCGAGCACTGCTCATACCTATGCCTTTATAGGCAAGCAGTGGGTGAGGAATGCTCCCTGCCCTCTGCCCAGAAAAGCAGCGGGGGAATAGTGACTGAAGTGTGTCCTGAGCGAGGCAATCAATCTCCCTTCTCTCTGTCAGGTACACTGAGATTGCTCAGCCCTTACATACCCTGAGTCAGACTGTGCAGAAGGATTTTCTCCTAAGCTCTTTCTAGTTCCCCTGTATAAATCTCATTTATGTAAGCAGTGAACAAGAACATAGCTTACTGTAGAGCTGTGTATGTCTAACAATAAGAGAAACACTAGGAGAGGAACAAGAGGGCACTTCTAAAACATCTGATATGCAATATTTTCATTGTGTAGTTTTCAGCACATTTGTGCTTAATTAGGCATATGAAAACTAGTGAATGAAAGAGAGAAAGAGAATGGGAGGGAAAGGGGAAAAGGAGGGAGGGAGGAAGGAAGGAAAAGGAAAAGAAGGGGGAAAAGAAAAAAAGGAAAAAAGCACCAAGCAAACAACAAGGTCAAACCAAGAGCAAATGCTATAGACAAATAATGTATCTTGATATCAAGCACTCTAGACTTCAGTCAGTTATAATCAACCTGTTCAAACTGCTCTTGTACCAATGCTTCATTAATATTCTGCAGCTGCCAGCTGCCAGAATCAGCTATCAATAAAACAGCTTGTCAAAGACCCTTCTAAGAAAGGGTTATGTTGCTCTCTTGTTTACAGAGACTCTGATTTTACTGGGAGATTTAGTTTTGTTTTTCTGCAATATTAGAGTAACTGTTTGCTTTCCAACTTGGATTTTGTCTTCCTTGTCCTGAATGTGCCCCATCACCACTTGACTCAGCAGCCGTTTGTCCCAAAGTAAAAGAGCTGGCATGTGAGAAATCTGTCCCCAGTTGCCGTAGGATAGTGGGAATACTTGGCTTGAGTGCACTGCACACAGTGCACAGTTCCACACAGTAAGCCAAGAACCACAAACAGCTTTGCAATTTTGAGCAGTATCGGTCCTGTAACATCCCTGTGGGCTGACTGGGAAGTATTACCCACTTTTAGACATGGGAAACAAATGTAATAACAGGCTAAGTAACATAAGTCTTGTCCCAGATCAGTGGCCGAGCTGGGATATGGACTAATGCCCAAATAAACTGCGAGTTATGACTAAGATTTTTAAGTAGATGTGTATTTTAGAATCTCATTAAGTAGTAAATTCAGATTAATTGTACTGCTTATACTACAGTTAGGAGCACAGGTAGGGTACAATGTTTGTTTTATAGGTTTGAACAGTTTGCTGCTCCAACTTATCTTTAACAAGTGTTAATTACACTGCTGTATTTGAAATAAATTACTTAGTTTTAGCATTAGTAGAATAATGAGTTATATAGGAATTATAGTCTTATAAAATATTCTTGCTTAAAAGCTGCAAAATTTCCAATTTTCTTATTTTTATTAACAACTCTTTAGTGTGTTCCAAGATGGCAGAAGAGCAGGTATCATCTCATCCAATGGTATTGCCTCACCAACTTCTACAAGGTATTGTTATTATCTTGGAAACAACCTTCAGTCTTTGAAGAAAGACATACCTTGGTAGTTTTGTGAGAAGATTTTGATCTTACTTGCTTGGGATTTTATTCTGGAGAGAGGGAATATGCAAAACAACTCTGACTACAAGGTATCAAGAGAGCCTGTTCTCTGCTTTTAGCTCTAACTATTCAGATCTAAAGGCAAAGTAGCTCTTCATGATGTGTGGTACTTAGCCTTAAAGAACGGGCTAATT